GGGGCTAAACCGTTCGTTTTAGATAGCAAGTGTGACACATAAAGACACAATAAAATTACCAAAGGAATCCATATATGAAATAATATACAGGGGGTTCCATTAAAAATTTTAATTTTGATATGAATAGGTTCCGATCGAAGTAAATATTTTAGGTTTGTAGTCTTAAGGATTCCCCACTATGTCAAAGCTGCGAACTTTAAAATGTACCATAATAAACCCACAAGAATCCGTCGACACACTATTGGCCCATACTGTAAAAGCATAATAGCAAATCGATCAAATTATTTAAATGAAATAAGGCACCTACATACAGGGTGACAATTTGAAAACTTACCACCCCCCATATCTTAGTAAATAAACGAGATATTTAAAAAAATCAAAATCCGTTTCGGTAATTCGGAGGGGGAATCACAATGACATAGTTGGCGACGCACCCCCTCACACCCCCTGCGCCCTAGCCACCCCAACTTTTAAATCTTAAATAGTAACCCCCCATGTGTGATACGTCGTTGGAAAGCTCTGAAAAAATGCTTTCCAACCATACCAAATAGCATTACATTTAGGTTAGTAATTATCGTGCAAATCAAAAAATAAACATGGAAAATCGTATTTAACTTGAACTTCCAAAGCCGACTCGACAGCAATTCATTTTTGATCGCCAGTTCTAATCTATTCTCAAACTCTTGTCGAACCTTTTCAAATGTTGGTTTTGCAATATTTTGACATTCTTGAATTATTATCTGTCTTGGTTCGTCTATGTTCGCCGGTTGCGTTTTAAATACGACAGATTTCAAATGTATCATATTAGTTTATTTTTTGATTTTCACAATAAATTACTAACCTAAATGTAATGCTATTTGGTATGGTTGGAAAGCAAGTTTTCACGTTTAGCAGATGAGATGTGTAAACTGTATGTCGATTTATTGCTTATTGTTTCATATAAAGGACATATTGCTGTGTAAACAATGTCGGCTTGTACGTTGAGCTTTAGGTCCAGTCACCTGAAATGAATGCGGATCGTTTAATTACTAATCAAATGCTTGTTTCAATTCATTTAGTTAATCTCGTGGGATTCTTTACGGATACACACAAAAACGATCTTGCGTATCTAGCTTGTATCCAAGGTATTTGTGCCGTTGTAAAAAAGATTAGTTCCTAGAATTATGAGGATAGGAAAACTTTATCTCTTTTTTTCGGTATCAATTTGTTTTGTTAATTAGTTTGTGGCAGTTCGGATTTGATTTATTGGGTATTTCGTTAATTTTTTTAAAAGATTAATATAGTTATCTAGAGATAAGGAAAAAAGTTTCCGTAGAAAATGTTGTATTTTAGATAAGATAATCCCGCGTAAACGTTGCGTACGTAACTGAAGAAACCGTTCAGTAGCAAGGTGTTGATTAGTTTTTCGAGTTGCCAGGCGTCGATCATTGGATAAGATTAATTTAAGGAGAGAAGTCCGTTTAAATACTGCAGTCGGCGTAAGATCGAAGCCTTTTGACAAATTCGATTCCGAGTTGCGGTTCGTTTAAAAGAAATCTTTTTCACAAATTCGAGGCCGAGTTGCGGTCCCTTTGAAGCGTTTGCCTTCGTTTAAACATATTTCTTGATTTTGTCTAATTTGTAATCGAACGCATAATGCGGGGATTGCTTATTCGGGCGCTATTGTACAGTGTAAGTAGAATTTCGTGTTTATTTTCATTTATGTCCGTAGAAGAAATTATGTGAATGTGAAATCCATCAAATCGTGTGTTTATTCGATCCTTTAACGATTCAGATAGATATCTCATACTTAATTAGATATTTGGAATAAAAAAGTACATAAATAGAAAAGGATAAACAATAAGACGAAACGAGTGCAATTTGGAGATGGGGCGGAGTAGATTTATGATTCCCTTGCTTTCGTGGACCATCCCATTTTACTGAAAGAATCAATTGAAAAGACTCTTTGCCGTTCGGGACAAGCGGTAACATATCTATTTGAACAAGGCTTCTCAATCTTAGTTGCGGTCAAAACCAAGGCACCAATTGGATCTGCAGCATGATTTGCGATGTGCCTTGACTAAAATCTTTCGCTCGAGAATTGCTGAATCCGATGACGCAACACCATGGTAATAAACAGAAAGCAGTTGTCTAAAATAGCTGCTATCACTTTTTTTATTATAGTATTTTTTTAATGCCCTATTTTTTTGTATTAGGTACTTTTACTGCGCTTTTTGTACTAAAGTTTTTGAATAAATTACTTAAATCAAAAAAGTTGTGGTTTAGACTTTTTAGGCCGTAACTCCAAAAAAAAAAACATTTTGGATCTGCAATTGCTAGAGTGCCCCCACCCTCGTTGTAAGTATACGTTGCCTATGGTTATTGTTTTTGTATCGATGGGCATGTGGCTATGCCGGTAAATTTTATGATAATATTAAGTGTTCATTTTATATATTATACAAAACTTGTACTTAGTTATACGAGTGCGGGACCCTCTCACGCTGGAACAGAACCATGCCAATTTTGATGGTTTTTAGGTAGGTACCTACGTATTTTCAATGTGTTTTTGTATCCAATTAATCGCTTACTTTTCATTTTGTATTTATTATGTCATATATCTCGTTTTTATTAATTTACTGTATTTACCTCAATTTAGATTTTTCCTTTTACAGCTTCTTTCCCGACGGTCTCTCACGTCTCAGCATACAAAAGAACCGACCATAGTATAACAAGGTATGATCACAATCCGTACCATCCAGTTCGGGCCAACTGCAACCTAGATTTAAAAGTGGCCATTCCGACATAGAAGTTAGATAGAAGTCGGTGCTTGTCATTTTGGTCACACAGCTCCCTACTGCAATTATAGGGTGTCAAAATTACAAAAATGTAAGATTGATTCCCAAATGAAATACTAAGTGTTTAGTATCACTGCTTTTGTAATTTTTTTCTCTATCGAGTGACGTAAAAATCCAATATGGCTTATTTAAAATAAGGAAGTTGATGCCAATATCTCGGTACCGCCATTAAAAAAAAATTTTTTTTTCGTTCATTGAAATCCAATCTTGCAACTTTTATTTTAAACTTTTTTCAATGGCAATATTCACTTTTTTCCTACGAAACGATTTATTTTTTCAAAATATCGCATCAGAATATCCATTAGCATCAAAAACTACACAACTTTAGCAATTTAAGCGAATCCTACTCAATTTAAGACACCCTGTATAGTCGGTCTTTGTTGACGCGAGTTGAACTTTTAGCGCCCTGCAACAACCTCTACCACGACTTCTTCTTTTATTGTAGTTACGTTTGGACCTACGTTCCGTACTTTTACTTCCCATGCTAGCTCAGATAAAAAGAGGTTAAGAACGGGAAAGAACTCGATTAATTTTTCCTTCCCTGATCAAATTAATTATTAACTAATTAAAACTGAGTAGCAGAATATTTAGAAACTTAAATACTCCTAGCTCCTAGCTAAACCAAAAATATCCCTACTGATCAGATAATTAAATTTATCTTTGCAAACAATGCAACCAGTAATTAACGTAGCTAATCTCCCTGGATCGAGTTTCAAACGTGTGTTATCAGCGCCTGCAGGATGAGTTCGATGTACTGCCCCGATCGCCTCTTCTAAATAGAATTAATGTAGTGTTGATGGGGATGTACAATCCTTACAGAATTAGCCGAATTTTCATCCAAATAACCTTAGGTATCATTTAAAAGCAAATTGCAATAATTATTAAAAAAATCGCGAACACAAAAAAAAACAAAGCACATCAAGCTTTTTTTTTAAATAATAGGCGACTTCTTGGACGATCCATTAACGAATGGAAAAATTCGGATTTTTAATATTGCTGGATTTAGTTACTAGCAAGAAGCTTTACGTACCTTGACCTAAAGTAATCTCATACAGGATAAAAATAGAACATTCAAACATTGATACAATATAAATTTTTTTATATACAGGGTGGTGACTTGCGTAACGCATCATAGGGATTTCAATGTAAAATTCATAACATGCGATTATTGGCTCCCCAAATTATTTTAGAGCAAAAATGTATTAAAGTTTTTTGTGGAAAAAATTTTTTTGCGCCATTCAACCGTATTAGTTTTCAATTTTTTTCATATAAAGACGGAAAATTGGAAAAATAAAACCCGCATCTTTATCAATAGTCTGCGATGCCATGGAATTTTCTAAAACAAAAAGATATCCAGTTATCAATTAGCAGCAGTTCGAAATGGATTTTATGATCGACTTGGTTACTGTCTTGCAGTTAATGGCGACTTATTCGAACATTTATTGTAAATTGTTATATTAGGAAACCGATTTTAGTAATTTGGTCTTTCTTTATGTTGAATTCGCTGTTCTAAATATAATAGTTTTTGATAGAATTTGATTTGTTTTATAGCAGACATTCCATGGCATGACGGATATTGGCGTAGTTTTTGTATGATAAAATTCCATGGCATCACAGATTATTGAAAAAGATGGGGGTTTTATTTTTCCAATTTTCCGTCTTTATTATGCAAAAAATTGAAAACTAATACGGTTGATTGACGTAAAAAATGTTTTTCTACAAAAAAACCTTAATACATTTTTGCTCTAAAATAATTTGGGGAGCCAATAATCGCATGTTATGAATTTTACATTCAAATCCCTATGATGCGTTAGGCAAGTCACCACCCTGTATACATAAATTTCCTCCAAGTTAGGAGTAAAACGCAATTCAATTTGAAATTGAAAAAAACGTAGTACTTGTTGCACTGCTGTTCCCAGCCATAAATCAGACAAGAGAGCGGAGTCTGCCACCATCTTGTGTGAATGCAGGCAGAAATCAATCCACGTTATTTTGTTTACGGATACATAAGTCATCGCTACTTACACCAACCAACCACCGGAAAATACCTACCCTTGGTAACGGTTGTGATAGCCCCTCACTGTTTAGTGTTAGTTTAGTTTCCTAGTTGCAATTCTGTGCAAGGCAAAACACAGCATACGTAAAATTAGGGGAAAAAGAAATTTGTTTAATTACAAGAATTTATTTAGTACCAAACTTCGACTGTTTGAGACAAGGTGGTAGTTGCTCCAGGAGGTTTTGTGGGCTGACTTCTACCGCAACCATTTCCTCGTCGGATAGCCACCCCAGATAGACCAGGTGCTGCAAAATAAAGACCATTAGCAATCAAAGCAGTTACAAGCAAATTCGTCACGTACTTTGTACTTTTTAATGGTGCGAAAAATGGACGAAGAAACATTAGCTGCACTCCTCCTGTTCGATGGGCTCGTTACCTCCCTTTTCGGAATTTTAACATTCTCTTTTGATAGAGACTGAAAGAGAAAAAATAATCACTTTTAGTCGACATGCAAAATAAGACAAAATATCAACGCAGTCAAAGGATATTTATTCCAAAAACAAATGGCGAGATAGTGGAGTCATTTTTTACGGTTCGTAACGGCGACGGCGGAAAAAGCCTTTGTGAATTTTTTATCAAACACTTCAATAAAACGCAATCACCGCTTCGTTATACATATCCGCCGAGATTCAAAATTTTAGAAGCAATTTCCGAAGCAAATGCTTTACAAAATTGCAACCGAGTATTGCTAACCAAGCGCGACTGCCATCCACTTAGTCATCGTCATAACGAAATATCCACATCAAAAAATGCAACATGCAAATGCGCAATTTCCATTCCGGCCAGTATGAGATTACCTATGCAAGATATGGCAATTCATATAATTTAATTCAGGTATTCATCAAAGTCACACGTCACAACTGAAAATGCAATTGTCGGCGTTGGGATGATAAATTTTTCGCAAACAATTACGTTGGGAAGCCCGAAAGGGTGAAACTAGCTCAAAAAAATCTGCAGCAAATCTCAATCCGCTTAATATTAATCAGATTGCTGCAACATTCGCCGAGCTCGATTATTAAACAACGGTTGGAGGATTACAAAATCATAAACTCGAAAAACAAAGAACGCGACGACGTAAATTAGAAATCAAGAGAAAAACTTCGTATGCACGTTGCACAACTATTTTAACACCTGGGACATGGCAATATTCGTAAATAAAGCCGAGTGGAAACGTACAGTGTTCCATCTTGCATTTTTATTAAACTGAACGCTTGCCAAATAATCCGAGCGGCCATATAAATTAAATTACAAAATATACCCCCGCCAGAAATTTAATAGAACTTTCTCAATTTTAAATTTGGATCCGAAAGACTCTCGAGTCCATAAAAATTTATAGAAAACGAGACAATTTTATATACCTGGCGGTCAATCTACTTACAAATCCTTCGTCGATGTTCCCGTAATACCTGGAGGCTGTGCATGTGCGAGATAGTTCAAACGGGAAAGTAAACTGAAACTTTACCGAGAGAAAAATGAGACGCTAAAGCCTCTGGCGAAATCATTTCTAAGGTTTAGTCTTTTATAAGTCTTAAAAAAGGGCGTTATGTTGAAATTCATTATCTAAATAAATCTCTTTGAGAGATGACTGCAGCTTTGGTAAAGTAAGTATTTTAAATCTCGGAAATGGTTTTGCCGAGTTTTTATTTCACTTTACAGAGCAGGATTTGCTCAAAGAGACGATTCCTCTACTTCATTTCATTTCGATCCATTACTCTATCAAGACAGTACCATTTTCATTTGAGGCTCGAGCCAAAATAAACTGTCTTCGCGTAAAGAGCCTTTCGTGACTCTAAAGATAAGCATGCTCAAGGTTCCAATGGTCTCATTACGAAAACGTATGTAGTTCGCAGTCTCTCATTCGCTCGCGTTAAGTCAGTTTTCTATTTTAATGTTGCTCTTCCGGATTTGATATTAACCGAGTATTTCGCTGTACTGGTCAAAAGATCACTTGTATTTTTGTACATTTGCAGCTATTTGTTGGATTTTGAGGATAAGTCAATATATTACGATACGAATATTTAGCTTTGTCCTACGTTATATAAAGGGGTCTTTTTCAGTCTTTGTGGATTACTTGGAAGATGATTTCTACTCTAATTCCGTACGTTCTTTAGATGCAATCGTACCGATAACGGTAACACCTTCAAAGTCATACTAATTGGACTCCTGGAGATAATACTATCACTATAAATTGGATGGCAAGTACTTCATAGCATTTTCAAGGATTTTAAGCGAAACGGTCCTTCATTTATAATCGATTCATTTTTTATTCGAGATTTATTTGCTGTAACATCACTTTATTATGAATTAGAGTACTAATAGTCCAGTCTATTTCCAAGTTTAATGTGTGCCTACGTAGAAGCAGATCTTAATGGACGTCATATTGGATTTTACGGAATGAGATAGAAGACAAAAAAAAGAAAAGTAATGAACCAAAGCCATGTTGATTAAGCAATATCTAGTTACCCGTGAATGATTTGTTGAGAATGAATATAAACCCTTTCCTTTTGAAATTTTCTTGTCAATACATTTAAAAGTATAGAGCATGACACGTCATTATTCTCTATCTCATTCCGTAAAAATCCAATACGGCGGTCAAAAAAAAGAGAAAGTAGCGTACGTAGCCTGTAGCTTCAATATCTGGCGTGTAATGAAGATTCTAATAACAGATTCAGATTCTCCAAAAAAAAGTGCCCATTTCCGAACGTTAAAGCTCGGAAAAATAAAAAAATTTGACATTTTCTTGAATATTTTCAAAGGTTTTTCAAAACTTTCAAAGGGTTTTTTTTAATCACAAAAAGAGTCCCTATTTAAGCAACACTGTATCTCTCAACGCCACAGAGATGTCAATCTTGAGCTAAGAATCTGAATCACTTCGTTTCCTTCGGGTGCCATATTGGACTATAATTTTTTTAACGTCTAGACGCTCGATGATGGCCCATAAATCATGCATAATAATGTGTAACATCATCATGAATGAGTGTACTCCATGACTAGGTAAGTAACACCGATATGAGCCATGGGGGTTGTTTAAACTAAAAACCCACTGAAGGTCAAACGGTGGGATTGTGATCTAAACTAAGTGTTGGTTGTCTACACTAAAAACCAAGGTCATTGAAGGTCAAACGGTGGGTTTGTTGTCTACACTAAAACCCACCGAAGGTCAAACGCTAGAGTTTTCTCCTGAACTAAAGCAATGTCACTGAAGGTCAAATGTAGACGAGAGTACTGTGCACTGCATTTAAGATCCAAGGAATTAATCGAGGCATATAAAATTTAGTTAAGAGGCATCATATACAGGTAGCAGATGTCAAAAGTAACTAGCATGACAACTGAGCAGCCAGCGTTTGTTTTGACCACAACCACGATCAAATGACCTTCAGTGACATTGGTTTTTAGTTTAGCCAACAACCACGTTCTGATTTGGTGCAGGCGCACTTCTAAAGGTCAAAGTTTGCTCATATCGGTGTTGCATACTGCCACGCTTGCTTTCAACAATCACCGCCATCTAGCGGCTAGTCCGTTGTCAGCATCGGAGCTGATTTACCTGGTTTTGTGGGTGGTGTAACGGCCGCATACCATTGTACACAGCATTATTTATTTGGCACCCAACGTGGGGCAAATCTAGAAAACGCAAAATATACGTAAAAAGAGGTCTCCAATGAAGAGAGGCATTTTGCTACGCTTATAGAGATAATAAAAACGCAGAATGCGAATTTTAAGTGAAAAAATGGATAAGATGATGGAGAAAATGAATGGAAATATTGCGGAATTAAAAGCGACGAGAAAATAGAAAAACAAAGAAGACTATGAAGCCTACCCAGACCACATGAGATTCGGCCAGAGGACCAAAAGAACCAAGACGAAGCTGAAGAAAATCTTAAACAAGACAGAGTAGACGGTCAGAAACAAGAAGGTAGAAATTTATAGGCAGCAAGAAGTGGTAGTTCAAAAGTACCAGGTCGAAAAAAAGTTCAAGTACAAAAGCAGCAGAAGAAAGTTTATTTTTTAAAAAGTTATACGGAGGAGAAGAGTTGTACGAAGTGGATTAGCAATTGTATGAGGAAACTGTAATCGAGAAACCACCGGTTAATATAATGTTTAGGGGGGAAGAAAAGTTAAACAGGAATAAAAAAAGGTTGGAAAAAAAGTACGGGATGAAAATGGAATCCAGGTGAGTGCAGCGGAGGTCCAGGTGCCACCGATGGATTGTTGGGAAATTGTGTTTTCGATATTTTTTTGATTTTGTGTTCAATTTAAAGGGGGGGAAATTGTTGTGTAACTTGGACGGTGCCTATGCTGCATTGTAATTTGTTTATTTTGTTACGAATTTACGTGTTGTATGATAATTGATAAGCAAATTTATTTGTGTCATATTTAAAAGTTTTATCTCATGTTTTTCTCCTGTCATAGATAAGAGTTGCTCATCGCTAAAAATTAACTTAATTTGTGTTGGGTGTTGTTATGTGTTGTATGAACGTCGTTTGATACATTTTATTATAATACACCGGTTTCAATCCCTGTGTAACCTACTACTGAAATGAACTTATAAAGTAGCTAAGGTATAGCACCTTATTAGCTTATATCCTGCCAATTGAGATAAAGTGATACCCATCAAACAGGTACACGACGCATTCAACCGGAAAACAAGGACCAATAAAAAGGCAACAGAAAAAGGTGACGGAAGATAATCAAACTACACTCCGCGAAATCATTATATGTACATAATATTCACATTGTACACATCGAGTCGTAATAATAGTCCAATCCATTTGCCACATACGGAGACTGCAAATTTCGTTTTACTACAACGTTGCATACAAAACCATCTAAGAGGAGGAATTTATTTCAGCCATTACACGTACCATAAATCACTGTCCGTACGGTATTCAATCAGCCTCCGCAAGAGATGCAGTTCACGTGAGCTCGCACAAACTGTGATTAATTATTAAGAATTTTCATGTCGACTTCGCAATCGTATAATATAACACACCAGGTGTCGCCCGTATCAGTGTATCTAATGGCCGACTCGATTAAGGCGGTTCCATTTACACCGACTGTCTTGCATGTACTACAATTTCCACATACAATATTTTCCATTTTATGAAAGAGATCGTTTTCGTTAAGTATAGCGATTTGCGGATTGAAAATAAACTCTCACACTCGACCAGAGCAATAAAATCCATCTGAGGCGTTTGTAAATAAATTGGAAATAAAAGCATCGCCGGTTGAACTTTATTTTTCCAGTTAGCCGCACAGTAGCAATTACAGATTAAATTATGATAAGTGCGAAAAAAACCAGCTTCGATTTATTTAAATCGAAACGGAAACATGTGAAGAGGTCCATAAAAATGAATCTTAAGTAACGCGGATTGAAAACTATTTGCGAGGATCGCAAATGAAGTTGATTAAATTGGC